CCCCCCCCCNCCCCATCATTCTCATTATCATTCTTCTTACCCCACCCAGCATCCCACCAGTTCCCCCCTCAACCCCATCTCTTTTTTCAATTCTCAACCAATTCAGCGTGGTGAAAAAACTTGTGATTTTGCATTATTTAACTTCTGCTCCTCTTTCTTTTATACATCAGTTTTTCCTCAAACACACATTCTCTCCTTGATTTTTGAATCACCAATCTTTTTATTGCAGCTAATTCCATTTTTCTGTTTTTTTGGCTTTTAATTTTTGGAATAGACGGGTCGGAAGTACGAATAGGTACGAAAATTCTCAGAGAAAGGTATACGAATTTGGAGAGACTTTTATTTTATCTTCTGAAAAAATCAATGATGTTCAGTTGTTTCCCTTTTAAAAACCTTCCGAATATATTAACGTAAAACCTTTAATAGAAGTGCCCCCCTGACTTTCAACTTTAAGCTCAATTATCTCGGTTCATGATAAAGATATCAAAAATGTGTCAACTGATAAATTGTTTATCATGATAGCAGCAACAATTTATTAGTTGAAAAATTTTTTACATCTTTATCAGGAACCGAGATAAATGGGCTCAAAGTTGAAAGTCAGGGGGCACTTCTATTACAGGTTTTACGGTATATATCGGGTTACTAAGATTTTCTAACTCGAGACCATGGATACCTCCTCGTACTCCCGCTCAAATGAAATTCAAACTTTTTTTGCCTTCCTCCCAACATCCATCACAAAAACACAAGATTCATAATTTACTGGATTTTATCGATTTCGTATGGTTTCCTCTTCCCCACTTCTCCTCCTCCCGCGTCTTCTCATCTATCATCATTATGACTATTATTTTACTATATATTATATATTATTTATGTGACAAACAATGAATTCCATCCATGTGTATGATCCCAACAACGAATTGTTTTCTCGTCGTCCTGATTCAGTGATGTTGTGTTGTCTGTGTTCTAGGTGTGTACATGTGACACTGGCTTCTTATCTCTTCAACAGTCACTTGGTTCTTTTCGTCCAGTGAATCATCAAAAAATAATGCCCTCAACATCGCTCCCCTATACTCAGATGGCTTTTCATATGCCACTGAAGGAGCTTCAACCAGTGGATACGTCACTTCCAGAACATATAATAAAGGTACTATCTTCTCGATGGTTTGGTTTCGATCATTATAATTCTTTTATGAAAAAATTGAGCTATGGAAGAGAAACAACGGTCTCCGTAGCCCAAGGTCCCACAACGACAACTACCGTAACCTAATTTTCATTTTTTCGATTTTCATGCGTTTTCAGTCAAAATTTTTGATTTTTTAACTTGCTCGGGGAAAAATTTTTAAAAATCGACAAAAATAAGTGAGTGCTCACGCTATTTCAAAGAACCTGGTCGGAAAACGCGCCTCAGCGAACGCGAGAAGTCACTGCTCAACGTGTCAAATTTCGTTGGCTGAGGATCAAACTTTTAAACGTTGAGAAAAAAATCGCTCGTTGCAATGCGTTGATTGAGATATTTAGGTCAAATCCACGTCAACTTTGAAATTATTGAATTTCGTCTGGCCTAAAAGTTTTCTGGTGCGTGATTTTTACCTGGTTCTTTGAAACACCTTGAATGCTGGGAAAAAAAAATTCTGAAAATGAAAATATTCTAGGTTACGGTAGTTGTCGTTGTGATACCTCCGGCCACGGCCACCGGCGTTTCTCTTTCACAGCTTCAATTTTTGTACCGGAATAATGTATATGCTGAAAATTCCAGGGCGCAGTAGTCATTGACAAAGAGTTAACAACATGGAATCGGCGAGCGGTTATTCCATCTACTGCTCTTCATACAGTATTCATAACGATCAACCGGTTAGAACAGAAACAAGCCGATGTAGTCAAAATGGCTGCACGCGAAATGAATTTACCAGAAGACAACACGTACGGACTGATGGCTGATGCTCCTAAACGATTCATAACAAATGAAAATATTGATCAGCTAGGCAGTGGATTTATATTGACTCTTTGTGCATCTCCAGATAATTACGTCAAACGGATCACTGAAATTTTGGAAGATGGAAAAAATATTGCACAAATGGAGAATGCCGTGAAAACTTTGGACGAATTTTCACTTGTGAGTAGAATGTGTTAGACCCAATTTCACAAAGATTTTTTAAAAGGATGACATAAAGTGTCTTCGAGAACTTATAATAGCAAAAGTTAATTACTTGATACACCTAAAACAAGCATTCTATGATAAGATGAGGACTATTCCAGTGACTCATCTCAGATACATTTTCACAGGATCCCGCTCTAATCGAAGCATTCTACCGTTGTTCATCTCTTGAACTACTTTTCGATTTGGTACGTGACGATCGAGTCTCCATGAGTTACACACTGCTCTCAACATGCTTACGTGCTCTTTCAAGCATTCTTGAACTCGCCGTTGGAGACGTAACCTGGAAATCAGTTCCTCGGGACGTTGTCGTCTCGATTGCAGCTTTGGTAACTGGAAAAGCGAAACGAGAAGAAGTGAATACTCTACTGGCTGCGCTTGCCATGATTGAGCAGTTGGTTATTGGGTAAGTAGTTCGACAAGATTAATTTTATGAGAGAGTCACAATGTGCAACTTTTCAGCGACGACACAACAAGAGATTGGGTTCTAGAAGAAGTGCCCATCGAAACTTTAATTCGTCATGTCGAGAAATCGGATGAACGAATCGCACTTGCCGCACTTTCTTTGATGAACTCAATGATTCGACACTGCTCAGATAAAGATAAAAGACTGGAACTTATAGAATCGTTAGAAGTGGTTCCGTTCAGAAACGCAGTTCACAGTTCTTTACTGCGAGATGGTAGTGCTCGAGACCCAAAAGCGCTTGAACAACTTGTAGAAGTTCAAAGAAGTCTTATCAGTGCTTACGATACATCTCCTGCTTCTGATTCTGAGATTCAAAAGGTTCTTGATATCGATTCAGCTAACGAGAATTCTGAAGAGGATGTGGAAATCTGGAGAACTAAACTCGCAGAACATCGTTGCGGTAGGCTGGCTACTGTAGCTATGGTACTATTCGGCGAGAAAAGCCCTCAAGACTTGAGAATGCTCATTTCCGAAAATACAATGAGAATAGAAGGAGGAAAATGGCAATTGATTCCAATGTGGATGAGGTAAGAAGAAGTGAAAAGAACACATGGTGAAACTTTTTTTTCTAGATGTTGTGATATTACTGCTGAACTATTTGGGTTGCTCCCTGGCCGCGACGAGCTCGACCGTCTTATATCAATAATTTTCTCAACAGATTCCCCTTTCCCAGCTGTATTTTCTTGTATCGTCCATCTATTCCATCGAACATGGCGAGAAATGCAAGCAAAGGGTGGCGAGATGGACAAGGTGGCAAGTTTTGTTCTAGAGCAGTTGAGACATGTTCTGAAACGAAAAGAAATTCACGATGTCGAAGAAATGTCAGCTGACTTGGAAACATTTTCCTATAAAGCAATGCAGGAAGTAAGAAGAGAAGAACAGCTGGAAAAAGAAAACGATCAATTACACAGTGAAGCCGTGATGTAAGTCAATAGAGAATTTGGATTGAAAACGGAAACGATTACAGATCTCTCAAAGCAAAACTGAGACCAAAAATTGAAGAGCTGGTCAGAATAAATCATCTTAACTACTTGAAAAAAGGTGATGTTTTTCGAAAACCAATGAAAAGCAAGTCTCTTGCAAAAGCTGCATACTGGTTTTGGAAACTTGATGCCTCTGAAAAAATGCTCACAATCACGGCATGTGATGGAGAACGTTTTGTGGATGATGGACATCGTGATGATATCAGACAAGGTACTTGGTGGTTTATCCTGTAGAAAAATGTCTATTCTTTTTAGTATGGCTCAAAGATGTTGCTGATGTGACGAACAACGATGAGATCGATCGAAAAGCCAGTTCCTCACGATTCGCATCATCTCCATCAACAAACATGTTACGCGGAGTACGTGTTCAATTGAAACCTACAAATGATCTCAAAGAAGGAGAAGTTCTGATGGCTTTGACACCAGACGAAACACAGGCGGGAATTTGGCAGGAAAGCCTTGCCTATTTAGTGGGAAATACCGAAATGAGAAGGTGAATTTGAAATAAAACGAATATATTAGGTTGGCGGGAAAGTCTTTGTCACTTTTTCAATAGTTTATTTCTCAAAGAAAAAATAACCGAATAATTAATTATATTGTCCATCATTATCAACAACATGTCTCCAACGTTCCCTCAATTTATGGATTCCATTGCGGTAGAATCCAGCCGGGCGTGAGGCAAAGTATTGTTTGAGTGCCGCTTCGACCGCTCCACGGGAATTGAAGCTTCTTCCTTCGAAGGCACGTGTCATATCGCCAAATAACCAATAGTCGGAAGGAGCAAGATCAGGAGAATACGGGGGGTGAGGGAGAACATTCCATCCATATCCCATCAGCTCCTGCTTCACTTGTTTCGAAACATGTGGGCGAGCGTTATCATGTTGATAGTACACTTTCTTGTCTTTCAGGGCCGAACGGTCGACTGCTTTCTTGAGGTTTCGTAGTTGAGTAGTGTAGAGGTCTCCAGTTATTGTTTTGCCCTCGGGCAGAAGTTCCCAGTAGATGGGGCCGTCCACTCCCCACCACACAGAGAGCATAACTTTTTTCGGATGAAGGTCGGGTTTTGGGACATCCTGTGGGCTCTCTCCTTCTCCAACCCACTGGGATTTCCTGTGGTGATTATCGTAGAAGACCCACTTCTCATCTCCGGTTATTAGCCGGTCCAGCCATCGATCGCCCGCGTGGAGAGTGAGAAGAGTAATCGAATCGTCGACTCGGCGGTCAAGGTTGGCTTGAGTCAGGTGATGAGGTATGAATCGACCAAAAAGTTTTCTCATTCCAAGAGACTTCAAACCTTCAAGGACTGTGCTATGGTGAACTCCGAATGTGACAGCTAGTTCACGGCTAGATTGAAATGGATCCGATTGCAATGCGTGCTTCAGCTTGTCCAAATCCAACTCACGGGGTCTCCCAGAGCGATCCTTTTCATCGAGCGAGAAGTCATCTTTTTCGAAACGATGGAACCAATTGCGAATAGTATTGTAGTGAGGGGCATGTGTGTTGTACACATTCTTCAAGAAAGTTTCCGAATCCTTCATCGTGGTGTGAGATAGGAAGAGGTAAATCAAAACATGTCTGATGTGAATAGCAGTGGGAACAAACATATCGTTTCAATTACAGATGAGGAGCAGGGAAGGAAATGGGGACTTGTTTATATGGAAGGTTCTTATCACCTTGTTATTCACTAGAGTCGATATCATACACAGCCTCCATATACGAGAACAGTGATTAAACAAACAGAGTGACAAAGACTTTCCCGCCAACCTAATAGATGAAGACCTTAAGTTTTACAGTAAAACAAATGCCATTGTCGAACGAATGTTGAAAATGGAGCTCCGCGTCCGACTTCTTAATGTGAAACTTGCGGATCCTGAAAACGAACCAGACGTTCCTCCTATCCCAGATGATCTTATCAGTTTTATTTCCAGCTTTTGAGTTGCTTTACTACATGTATTTTTTGTGATGTACTTCAAATGTTGTCATTTTTCATATTCTACTTTAAATTTACATAGCATTATATAAATTATCAGATCTGAATTATTTTCCTCTGCATAAAATGAATGGGTTGCTTGAAATGTGTTCTAGTGTTTCTAAGAATAAGCCAAAAATCGCAGGCCGCTTGAAGTTTCTTTTTTCACTTTCATCTGCAACGGTGTATTATTCTGGTACAAATAAATCATAAATCGGAGCTGTGGAAGAGAATTGCCGGGTACCGTGGTCGAAGGTTCCACAACGGCAACTACCGTAACCTGAAAAAAAGTTGTTATTTATGCCGCGTTCAAAGTTGATTTCCAGGAGAAATTTTCTGGAAAAACGCTGTCCAAAGCTGTCATTGTTTTCCAGAGGCCTTCGCTTCAAAACCCGCCGTAAATCGACACGAATCAACAGAAAAACACAGTCAAAACGAGTGCTACAGTAGTTTAGTGTTACTGGAAATCTGGAAAACAAAGACAGCTTTGGACAGGTTTTTTCCAGGAAATTTATCCTGGAAATTAACTTTGAACGCGGCATTATCGGATTTATTTTCTTGTTTAAAGATCACTAATATTCGTCGAGCCTTCTATCATTTTGCCCCAAACAAGTGAGGAAATTAATTTTTGTGAAAAAAATGATTGAAAATCTAGAAAATAAATATGGAAAACAAAAGTATTCCTAATAGTAAGTTACGGTAGTTTTCGCTGTGCAACAATAGGCCGTGGTCATCGGTGTTCCTCTTCCACAGCTCGTTTTTTGTACCAGGAAAAATATACGAAATGATTCATTCAGATGAGTGTAGTGAAAGAGATGAAAGCTGAACTTCGACAACTTATGAAGAAAGTGCTTGACAAGATTTCCGTAGAAGAAACAAAAGAGCAGAGTGAGGCCGTTTTTCGGAAAATTATCGATTCGAAATGGTTCCAAGAAAGCAAAAGACTATCAGTTTATGTTAGTACAACTGGAGAAATTCAAACTGATTTAATTATAAAAAAGTCATTAGAAATGGGGAAAGAAGTTTTCATACCTCAGGTTTGTTATCAAATAGTTTTTCTTCGAAAAAAAACAATGATTTTAGTTCACTAAAGGATCAGTTGCAATGGAGATGGTACGCCTTCCAGATCAAAAATCATTTGATGATCTGCCATCGACTTTATGGGGAATTCGGCAACCAGATCCGAAATGGAAATGGGAAAGCTACCATATGACAGGTAAAACAAGTCTGTTTGAAAACATAAAGAAATCTAATTTTATATTAAGGACCACTTGATCTAATTCTTGCGCCTGGAGTAGCCTTCTCCCCATCCTGTCTCCGTTGTGGTCACGGAAAAGGATATTACGATCGTTTCTTCTCGACTCATCATTCTAGATTTCCATCAGATTCTCCGTTGAAAGTTGGATTGGCTCTCCGCCAACAAATCATTCAAACTATTCCAGTTTCTGAAACTGATGTTCAATTGGATGATGTCATTTACGAAGGGGATCTTATTGTACCAAATCAAGCAGGACTATGACAACGAATTTGAAACCTAAAACGCCATCTGTGATATTTAAACAAAAAAAAACATTCCAATTGTCCTTTTATTGTTTGGGTTTAGATAATAAAGATTTACAAACTTGAAACAGCATTACTGTAGCCCTAACTTTTCAGATCACAGACAATCTTTTCTACCTGGCAGGAGGCCTGCAAGAGTAGAAAAACGTGCGCTGCAAGAAATTTATTATCAAATGACACCATTCTCGTTTCTATCATCTTTCCTTCCGTTCCCTCTCCCTCTCTATTCCCTTCTCTTTTCCCCCATCTGTTGCTTCTTTTCTCAAATATCCGTTGACCATATGGGTTTGAGGTGTGTGGACACGTTTCTTTTTCATTCCATCTTTCACTCTCGCTCTCTTCATAGTAATAATACGGTTCTTTGTCCGCCCGTTTGGGTGGCGATCGTGGTACTGAATAAACATAACTACACTGCTCGCTCTCTCTCTCTCTCTCAAACCGCATTTTCTCTTTTTCTATTGAGAAGAAGAAAAAGAAAATGAAGAGAAGAGAAGATCGATTGAGGAGAGTGTATGAAATATGGAGACATAGAGATGTGCATCGCGTGTTCAGAGATACTGTGAAGACGGGAGAGACGTCGTTTCTCTGATACCTCATCGCTTTTCTCCTTGGCTGTAAAATTCTCTCTATTTTTGGTTGTTCTTGTTCCATCCCAAGGGAGAAGACTCATCCTCTAATTATTTGAATAATTAATTGATTTACTGCAGCATCCGCTCCTCTCAAGTTTTTATTTTAATTTTATTTAAACGAATTCAAGTATATGTAATTGGCTATAATTTGTTTTTGGCTCCTCTCTCCGACTCATCATCATCTTCTTCTTGTTCGTTTTTAGCTTTAACGTCTTTTATTCAGAAGAAGAAATGGCACAGGACGTATTTATGGATCCCTGGCAATCAGCAAAGTGAGTTTCAGACTGAAAGAGTATCGCGTGACTTAAAGTCGTCTATATAATCAAGATTGGTTCCTTTTCTGGGTCTGATTAAATTCGTAGTGAATTGATTGACTTTTGTCAGGATATTCTGGAGACTCTTATTACTTTTGTGCTCTTTCCAGTCACTGGAAGTTTCTTCATGTTTCCTCTTGTGAGGATACTGTAGCCCGCTTACCATTAAAAATGTGTTTTCCTATTCTTAAAAGAACATTCTGAAGTTTCAGTTTTCCAATGGAAGATGAAGAAATGGGAATGCCTCCTGGTAAATATGCTCGGATGGAAGACGATATGGGAGAAAACAAAGAGCGATTTGCGAGAGAAAATCATTCTGAGGTGAGACATTACTTTCGAATTTTCATACAGGTATTAAAAAATTTGGATATTCGAAATATCGAAAATCCAGAAACTCTTGCTTTGGAGTGTCAGAAACTCTACACTTGGGAGCTTAAAAACTCATAAAATTGAAAATCACATAAGAACAAGTTCTAAATTTTTAGAGTTTTCGTTTTGGAATTTTCGAATCCAAATCTTAAATTTTGGACGTTCGCAACTTCCGAATTTCTATTTGAAACTAACAAATTTCTGAAAATCCGAAGTTTTGAAAGTTTAGAATTGTAGATACTCCGAGCAAACCCAAAAATTTGAAGACTCGGAATTTCAAAAATTCAGAGCTTCTCCAATTCTGTAGTACTGAAATTTTGAATTCCAAAAAAATTTAACGGATCCGAAAACTCGGAAATATTTGAGTTTCCATTCGAGTTTCAAAATCTATGAAGTGACTTTAAATTGTTTAACTTCTGAATCTCCAAGTTTAGATTTATTGAATTTTCCATACTTCGAGTTTCCGAATTTCCGAATTTACAAATTTCTAAACTTTCAAGTGCTTAATTTTTTGATATTATGTACAATATTCCTGGATTTCCGTATTTCAGACTTTCTGAATTTTAAAAATTCCAACCTTCTTTTAAGATTAAAATTTTGAATTCCGAGTTTTCAGAATTTTTGAATTTCCGAATCAAAACTATCTGAAACTCGAAAGTTTTAAATTTCCGGATTCCGGGAAAAAAATTGAAAATTAGGTGTAACCGACTGGTGTAAATTAAAGACAGAACTTCATTTCTGTAATCGAAAATGCTTTACTGAAACAAAAAACCTTCTATTTTCTCATCATATTCAAGATCGAACGCCGTCGTCGCAACAAAATGACACACTACATAAATGAGTTGGCTGAAATGGTTCCACAATGTGCTTCACTTGGTCGTAAACCTGACAAACTGACAATTCTTCGAATGGCAGTATCTCACATGAAAGGAATTCGTGGACACTCTGCTCAAGATGAAACCTCATACAAACCATCATTCTTGACGGACCAAGAACTCAAACATTTGATTCTGGAAGCAGCAAACGGATTCTTGTTTGTTGTTTGCTGTCAAACTGGCAAAGTTCTTTATGTTGCTGATTCAATTACTCCAGTTTTGAATTTGAAACAGGTAGATTTGTAGTTTTTGAGATATACCCAAAAGTAAAAGTTCAAAATTTCAGGAAGATTGGCTTCAAAGAAATCTGAACGATTTGATTCATCCAGATGATCAAGACAAAATTCGAGATCAATTGTGTGGAAGTGAGGTGTCAGTGAACAAAGTGCTTGATTTGAAAACTGGTAAGTACACTTTTTCGATATGGAATTCAATAAGAATCTTCCAATGTTTGACCAAGACGTTTTTCGTACTTAGTATTTTTGATTGTAAAATAAAATAGTTTAGAAACTGACTGAATACCGTAGACACTCTACCACCCAAACCGTCATCTTTGAGTCCGAATATCGCTTTTCCTATGAAAGATATTAAAAAGTGGCTGACTGACAAAATGGTAATCATATTATCAGCAGCATTTTGTTAGTTGATCATTTTTTCATATCTTTCACAGGAACCGAGATAAATTTGCTCGAAGATAAGAGGTAGGCAGCCGCTAGCGGTCCGCTCCGTAGCTGAGCCGGCAAGCGCCACCTTTTCAACTTTGAACCAATATATCTAATTATCTGTAAACTATATCAGAAATTTGTCAACTGACATAATGTTTCTCATAAAAATGAAAACATTTTGTCAGTGAATCACTTTTGGATATCTTTCACAGGAGCCGGGAAAAATCGGCGCAAAGTTGACAGTTAAGAGGAATCATTCTATTAGAGGGGTGTCTTTGATAACCCAACATTACACTCAGTCGGATTTCAGGATCCGTTAAACGAGAGGGTGCTTCAACACGTGTTCACATGTCATGTCGTCGTGGTTTCATCTGCCGAATGCGTGTCGGAGCCCTTGAACCTCTTCATCGTCTCCGCAATCGTCGTCCACTTTTTCAACACGGTGGACACAATTACGTTGTGATGCACTGCACAGGATATATTAAAAACGCTCCTCCTCAAGGAATTAATGCACCAGCATCCTCATGTTTGGTAGCCATTGCCAGACTGCAGGTCAGTTTTTGAATATGTAAAAAAAGTGATGGTATGAATCATACCGTATGATTTATACTTTTTAGGTAGCCTCAATGCCCGTATGCGCAGATCCAGCATCTGCAAATCAGTTCTCGGTTCGAGTAGCTGAAGATGGGAAAATGACATTCATCGATTCAAAAGTCGGTGATTTGATCGGTTTGAGTAGTGATCAACTCATAGGAAGATATTGGTGGAATTTGGCACATCCTTCTGATGAAAAGACACTTCAGGATAGTTTTATAGCGCTCCTAAGGTGACTTTCGAGTTTTCAGTATCAATATATGAATATCTCCGACTTTTAGTGACCAGCCAATGAGAATCAACATTCGAATACGTACTAGTACTGATTACGTTCCATGTACAGTATCTGCATACAAATTCATGAATCCCTACTCCGAACAGTTTGAATATGTAGTAGCAACTCATCAAGTTTCCCCGCAAGAAGATATCAACAATTGGATTACGGGACCATTAGATTCTCAGCCTCAAACATCTGGATTCAGCGAGCTAGGAGTCCCTGGAGCCGCCGATTATGGACAGTCCAGCAGTGGCGGATGGAGGACGGCCCACAAGTGGCAGCTCCTGCACAATGGACATGGGATCCAATGAATGGATACAATCAGTGAAAATGTTTAAATGAACGAATATTACTAAATATGATTCTCATTCTGTCTACTCTCACTAAATTTAAATGTGTCTTATGTTCAATTTTAGGTTTCCCACTCACGAAACACCATATTGTTCCAATGTATTCAGGATTTTGTACACTATTTAATTTCTAATCTTCAAAAAAAGTAATAAAAGAAAATAACGAATAAGTGAAACAACTACAACAAATCATGACATGATTATTTAGGTGGATTCTGGAGAATGTACTCTGTGGCTGATGTAGCTGTTGATTTGTGCTCTGAGAATTTTTTTGCCGGTAGTTGTTCTGTATTCATCGCGGTTGGAAGCCAAGTGATCGGTGTCCATTGGCCTTGTACAGATGGAACAAGAGCACTCTGACGGCTCTCCAACTTGACAACAGGTTCTCCACTCCTTGAGAAAAGCAGATGAATGTCTTTGCTCACTTCTGATTCGGACATGTTTTTGGCATTGATCTGAAGAGTTCTTCCATTTCCATATTCGGCACGGATTGATGGATTCGAGTTTCGTACTGGTTGAGCGTAGATCACGACAGATGGATTTCTCCGTCCTAAAATATTGTTTTACCGGATGATTTGTTTTTCTCAGTTCTCACCGATTTCGTCGAGTTTATTCTCAATGAAATTTCTCATGCCAACACTGGACTCGCTTTGTTTGCAAAATCTCACAGTGATACGATGCAGTTGGTTCGTGTAGCGAGAGATCCCGTTGTACGCAGGAATTTTCAGAAAGTCTGAAAAGCGCCATCCGAAATTGAGAGCCTTGGCAGCGGTGTAAATTGGTTTGAGACGATCGACGCGAGGAACCGACGGCATCTGGAATACAAATATAAATTCAAAGTTTGAATTTGAGACAGTTTAAGTAAGAATACAATTTGAAAAAGTCGGAACACAGTTAGAAATGTTAGAAAAAAGTAGGAAGAAAGAAGAAAGAAGAGAAAACAATTTTCAATATTCAAATAACAAAAAAGCAGCAACACAGACGATAAAACAATTTGCAAATAATTAAAAATCAGTCAAATTCTTATGAATAAAATAAGCTTATTTTATATTGAATAGATCGCAGAATCTGCAGAAACAAAGAAAAAAAAAGCTCAAAATTTTTTTTCGGAGACATGAGAAAAAATGAAGAGAAACCTAGGCCGCGCGGCCGTGTAGTCTGCTGGGACAAGTCATATGTCTCACTCGAGTTGTTTTCGCGAAAATTTCGAGACCGTACGAATCGGGAAGACACCCGAAAGCGGGAGACACAAAAGCGGGAGACACGAAAGCGGGAGACGAAATTGCTTACCGTACCACCGTTAATTTCCAAATCGAGAGTAACCAAACGGCCGAAAATAATTTTTTTTTTTAAACATATTTTCATTTATCTCGGGTATTTTATTCACAAATTTACTGAAAAATAGTCTAATTTTTTACAACGGAACGGTGGATTACGGTAAGCAATTGCGTACTTTCTCCCCTTTCGTCTCCCGCTTTCGTGTCTCCCGCTTTTGTGTCTCCCGCTTTTGGGTGTCTCCCGGATTCGTACGGTCTCAAAATTTCGCCTGATTTTTTGTACTTTGTTCTGTAATTATATTCTTTTATAGTCTATTAATATTATTTTTAAGATGTCAAACTTTTCGACAAAAGCGGTGCTTTCGACTCTGTAAGTTGGCCACGTAGAAATCGCTAACAAAATATCACTTTATATAGAACAAACTGGATGAGTGTCACAGACGAATCATTGGAAAAGCTAGACAGAGTGGAAGCTCGACTCCTAAAATCGTGTGATGTCAAATATGAAATAAAATATGTCCCGGTATGAGTTGTCACCGAATAATCTGCATCGAGGTTGTTTTTTCCAGGTTCGATTCAAAAAAGGCGATATCTACACTATAACAGTAAAACCAATAGAGAATGAAAACCAAAACGACGGAGCGATTGTTCTGATACCAGGACTTGGAGCAGGAGTCGCCATGTTTGCACCAAACCTTAAGCACTGCGCTATAAATCACTATGTACATTCATTCGATCCACTTGGATTCGGACGATCATCCCGACCTAAATTCAACGACGATAATGCCATTGCTGAGTTGGAAATGGTCGAAGCCATGGAAGATTGGCGAAAAGCGATGGGAATAGAAAGAATGTATCTTGTAGGACATGCATTCGGTGGATACTTGGCTAGTGCATACGCCCTCGAGCATCCTGAGCGAGTCGCTCACTTAATTTTAGTGGACCCGTGGGGATTTGCAGAGAAGGTAGACGCAAACGAAAAATTGGTTGGTTTTTTTTGTCTTTAAACTTGAATACCAGAACATTGATTGAGCTACTCTAGATAAAACCATATGCATGGATGTCCTTTCTTGGCGGTGTCGCTGGATATTTTAATCCATTTTCTCCAATGAGATGGATGGGCCCTTACGGCAAGTGATAGGAATGTAGAAGACGATAATTATTTTTGTTACAGCCCCAGCTATAGTGCAAAAACTACGTCCGGATTTAGTAATCCGGTTTCCAGGACTTCGCGACAACGACATCTACAAATATGTCTACTATTTGAATCTTCCCAACCCCACTGGAGAAACTGCTTTTATGAACATGACTTTGCCAGTTGGTTGGGCAAAACGACCGATGATTAGAAGGTAGTTGTAGAAAATTATACTAATCTGTATTATTTATGTTTCCAGGTTTAATGGCATCGACAAGAGCGTTGGAGTCTCGTTCATATACGGTAGTAAAAGTTGGGTCGATCCGGGACCGGCTATTGATATTCAATCGACACGTGAAGGTTCATATGTAGATATCAAAATTGTCAGAGGAGCAGGAACACATGTCTATGCTGATGATCCGATAGCATTCAATAAGATTGTTCGGGATGTTGTTGAGGGCCGATTGGAAAACCCTTCTAATGATTTTGAACTAGAAGAGTGCTTCCACTCTGATTAGTGACATGGATTAAAAATTCGCATTTTGAGTTTTCATTTTACAACCCAATTCTGTAGTTTAGATTAATCTTGACTTCCTAGTTTACTAAAATCCCATAGAAAAACATTCCTTGTATGTATATAATATTAATTTACAAAGATTTTGAAAATTTTATGTGCCTTACGAATACCTCGATGTAAAAAAGTTGTGATTCAATAAAACCTTTTATTCAAGCAATCATAGAAAAATCTTCCAGCCAAATCGATTCCTATACAAAATATGCCGTCTCCTGATACTTATTTGACCATGTAGTTGAGTGGCATTCCTGGTTCCCAGTCGTAAGGGAATTCAGGTTTTCTGCAATTACTGAGAGCTTGCTTCATCAGCTGAAAATATTATTCATCAGTTTCTTCTCTATTCATGGAAATCTCACTCTGTAACATTCCGAATAGTTGGGATCTGCAAAATAGTCCCAGCTATCAACCATTCTCATGATTTCCTTCAACTCATTAACTGGGCATGGAGGAAGGAACATTTTTTCAGGAGTGTTACGAATAGCCTGTTTCGCCTGTCCAACAGCATTCATATCAGTGATTTCTTTCCAAGGAACACGTCCAACAGTCAACTCCACTTGCATGTACAACCACACTTCAACATCGTCTTTTCTGGAAAAAATTGAATATTGAATAGTAAAACTCTTATATCTTGAATACCTTCCAAGCTCTTGATTTTTATGGCATGCAATCGGTGCATAACGCACAGTACCACGAAATCCGGCAGCGGCTCTAGGCTTGCGAATGATACCCTTAAAAAATTATAAGACAGTGACATTATTATAAAACTTATTTACATTATTGTCAGTGAACTTGCGAGCCATTCCAAAATCGAGAATGTAAACTTTGCGAAGCTCGTTTAATTCAGCACGACCAATCGTGTAGTTACCCGGCTTGACATCGCGGTGCAAGTAACCAATGTTATGAAGATCCTCGAGAGCTTCCAAAGCTTGAATACCACAACTTAATGAGCATGCTACGCTAAGTGATTGTTGTGGTGTTCCTTTGCGAAGGTCCTGAACAAAAAAAAATAAAAATTAAAACTTTATTGTTCCCATTATTTAGACTCTCGAACCTGGAGAGATTTTCCAACAAGTGTCATGACGACATAGTTGAAGCTTCCGTATCTTCCCTTGTCTTCGATCTTACAGAAATGACGACTTCCTCTTTTGGTCAACTCGCCGAGAACCAGAACTTCCATTTTAAGAACTTGCATCTGCTCCGATATTCCTTCAACTTTCAAGGCATATTTTCCAGTAGCATCAGTGCACAAGTAGACAGCTCCACAGCCACCTTCTCCCAATTTTTTCGTGATGGTCCATCTTTCAACCTAGGTGAATACTGTTTTTTGAACCCTTTTGTGCTATCTACCATAGATCCTGGTGGAAGCTGTACTAGTTCCGGAGGCGGTGCTGTCATCGTTGCGATTGAACTTGTCGACAATAAGGCTAGTTATCGAAAAAGACAAGAATAACTTTAAACTGTGGAGTTTTTTTTTCCCAGATAACATCTTTTCTTTACTTGGAATACGTGTAAACTGAAAGAAATTTTCTGAGTCTCCGCATGCGTCTGGCCGCGGCCTAAATACTTGTATAAAAAACTTTATTTGAACTCCCCCGGTTATTGTTTGAAGGCGCAACATGTGCGCTCATTGGCGGGTCTCGCCACGGCTGTCATATCGGAAGAATTTAACGAAAATTTCAGTTTCTTTTTTTGTTTTGAGAAAATGGAAACCGGGAAAATTGAGTGATTTGAAAACGAAAATCTGTGAAATAAGTGATATGAAAGTTGCAACCAACTTCCACCTCTTTTTAGTCAGATGGAAATGAGATTCTTTCTGAAAATCTTCTGGACAGCTTCGCTCCACAACTTTTCGTTTATTCGTTTGCTTTTCGCCTCTATTAATGTCTCCTTTTTGCTTATCTGAATCGATTTTCTCAAATGCTCTCATCAACTCAATATTTGAACATTTTTTTCAGGGTATCCCTAAGCGCCATGAGTTCCGACTTGTACGCGAACGCAGTTTTATACTGCGAAATTTCTCAAAGAAATCCCGAGCTCGTAGCCAAGATGTTCAATGAAGCGACACGAAAGAAATTGGATGCATTCGTGAGTCTACACATCAAAGGTGTTATTATTAAGTCTTGAAATTTTCAGCTCAAAGATCATGAAGCACCAAAACTGAAAGACATTATCGATGATGGCGCGTTCAAGAAAAGAAAACGCACATCCTCCACATCTGGAAACGAACCTCCTTCAAAAAAAGTTGCAGCTAAGGAATCATCAAGTTCTGATTCTTCGGACGATGGAGCAGTCAAGGTGAGTATCTGTTAGTTTTCTATTCTCTATAGTCTTTTTTTATAGAAGAACGGTGTTCAAAAACCAGTTACCGTAGCTGTAAAAAAAGCCTCCACTCCTGCCCAGAAAAAGGCAGCTTCCAGCAGCAGCGATTCTGAGAGCGATGCTCCGACGAAGAAGCTAACTCCTTCCAAAAAGCCACCGCAGACTCCAGCTCAAAAGAATGCTGCATCTAGTTCGGACAGCGATGACGATGATGCGCCAGCGAAGAAAACTCTTCCCCCAACAAAGATCGTGAAGCCAACTCCTAAAAAACAAGAAACAAGTGATTCGGATAGTGATAGTGAAGAAAGTGATGCAGGAAAGTCTAAGACGCCTGCTGCTAAGGTTGTTCAAGCATTCATAAATTAAGTTACAACTGATGATCGTGTTCAGCTCACTCCGCATGCTGTGAAACCAGCTATGAAGAAAGCATCATCATCGGATTCTTCCGATTCGGACGACGACAAGAAGTCGGCTCCCAAACCAGCTGCCGCCAAAGCAACTCCAATGGCTCCTGCTGCAAAGAAGGCTGCTTCTTCATCGGATGATTCCTCTGACGATGAGAAGAAGCCTGCTGCAAAACCAACTCCAGCAAAGGCTACTCCAAAGGCTCCTGTTGCAAAGAAGGCTGCTTCTTCATCGGATGACTCTTCTGACGATGAAAAGAAGCCCGCTGCAAAACCAACTCTAGCAAAGGTCGCTCCAAAGGCTCCAGCTGCTAGGAAGGCTGCTTCTTCATCGGACGATTCTTCTGACGACGAGAAAAAACCTGCTGCAAAACCAACTCCAGCCAAGGCTACTCCAAAGGCTCCTGTTGCAAAGAAGGCTGCTTCTTCATCGGATGACTCTTCTGACGATGAAAAGAAGCCTGCTGCTAAACCAACTCCAGCCAAGGTTGCTCCAAAGGCCCCAGCTGCTAGGAAGGCTGCTTCTTCATCGGACGATTCTTCTGACGACGAGAAAAAACCTGCTGCAAAACCAACTCCAGCCAAGGCTACTCCAATGGCTCCTGCTGCAAAGAAGGCTGCTTCTTCATCGGATGATTCCTCTGACGACGAGAAAAAACCTGCTGCAAAACCAACTCCAGCCAAGGCTACTCCAAAGGCTCCTGTTGCAAAGAAGGCTGCTTCTTCATCGGATGACTCTTCTGACGATGAAAAGAAGCCTGCTGCTAAACCAACTCCAGCCAAGGTTGCTCCAAAGGCCCCAGCTGCTAAGAAGGCTGCTTCTTCATCGGACGATTCTTCTGACGACGAGAAAAAACCTGCTGCAAAACCAACTCCAGCCAAGGCTACTCCAAAGGCTCCTGTTGCAAAGAAGGCTGCTTCTTCATCGGATGACTCTTCTGACGATGAAAAGAAGCCTGCTGCTAAACCAACTCCAGCCAAGGTTGCTCCAAAGGCCCCAGCTGCTAAGAAGGATGTTTCTTCATCGGACGATTCTTCTGACGACGAGAAAAAACCTGCTGCAAAACCAACTCCAGCCAAGGCTACTCCAAAGGCTCCTGTTGCAAAGAAGGCTGCTTCTTCATCGGATGACTCTTCTGACGATGAAAAGAAGCCTGCTGCTAAACCAACTCCAGCCAAGGTTGCTCCAAAGGCCCCAGCTGCTAAGAAGGCTGCTTCTTCATCGGACGATTCTTCGGACGATGAGAAGAAGCCTGTTGCTAAACCAACTCCAGCCAAGGCTACTCCGAAGGCTCCTGCTGCAAAGAAGGCTGAATCTTCTTCTGACTCTTCTGATGATGAGAAGAAACCTGCTGCTAAACCAACTCCAGCGAAGGTTACTTTAAAGGCTCCAGCTGCTAAGAAGGCTGCTTCTTCATCGGACGATTCTTCTGACGACGAGAAAAAACCTGCGGCTAAAACAACTCCAGTAAAGGGTACTCCAAAGACCCCAGTTGCTAAGAAGGCAGTTTCTTCCTCGGATGACTCTTCTGACGATGAGAAGAAACCTGCTGCAAAACCGACTCCAGCCAAGGCTACTCCAAAGGCTCCAGATGCTAAGAAGGCTGCTGCTTCATCGGACGATTCTTCTGACGACGAGAAAAAGCCTGCGGCTAAAACAACTCCAGCAAAGGTTACTCCAAAGTCTACAGCTGCTAAGAAGGCCGATTCTTCATCGGATGACTCCTCGAATGACGGAAAGAAACCTGCTGCAAAACAAACTCCAGCAAAGACTACTCCAAAGGCACTTGCTGCTAAGAAGGTTGATTCCTCTTCGGACGATTCTTCTGATGATGAAAAGAAACCAGTTTCTAAGCAAACGCCAGCCAAGGCTACCCCAAAGGCTCCCGCTACAAAGAAGGCTGAATCTTCTTCTGACTCTTCTGATGATGATGAAGATCTCCCGAAACCGTCGAAGTTGAAACCTGCCCCCCCGAGACAGAAGAATGAGGATTCCGAGGATTCTGCTGAAACTGAAGAAAGTTCCTCTAGAACACCTGCTCTGAAAGCGAAACCTTTAGCTACATCCACTGAAAAGCCAGGTTATGAATCAAGAAAGAGAAAGTCATCGCCATTCCGCCGAGTTCAAATGACTAAAGACAGTGTTGCCGAGAAGTTCAGAAATAACCAACATGATTCAGTGAGTCTCCAGTCCAATTCAAGATTAGCAATAAGTAACTAATTTCAGAGTTTCGACCAATGGGGTCAACGCGCAAACGAAAGTCTCGGAAAAGTTGTAGGAAAGGCCTTCCGACATGAGAAAACCAAAAAGAAGAAGGGAAGCTACGGCGGCGGTCCAATCAACCAATCTATCAATTCAATCAAGTTTTCGGATTCTGACGACTAAATTAATTCCTTCAGTAATCTAATATTTGTTGTTCGTTTTGTTTTTTATCTTTGTTGTCTGTTGTTCCCGTTTTTTTTAGAATTTAATCCCCCGAAGCAAAGATTATTGTAAACTTTTGTTACCGATCCAACAAGTCCAAATCCTTTGTTCTATTGTTATACCTCATGTTTTCGCACAGATTTCCAATTGAATGAGCAACCGTTTATTGGTTAAAAACTTTTAAGACATTCTCTGACAGAACCAAAAATAGTGATGTACAGAAAAATTCAAGCTTGTTTTTTCTGCCTGATTTTTCATATACTGCATGTTCATGGACTTCTAAAGTATATGAGATATAGTTTGTCCCGACTTGTCCCACACCTGCAAAAATATGGTCGTGAAGTGTCTAAAAAAATTTTTTTTCAAAAGTGAAATAATGATCAGGTTTTATTGTAGAACGTTTTTAGGCCCTATTTTGAACATTTTTTGTATTGGCACTATTTATATTCTTCCATCTTCCCTGGAAAAATTTCGATTTTTTGGACCAAAAAATCCGTCCTGAAAAAAATTAATTCATTATTGTAAAAAATTGAACATGAAATTTCGATTCTACAATAAAAATACATTAGAAACTGTTTTGGGATAAAAGATAAACCTGAGCCCCCCATGAGTTTTAGGCCAAAATGTGCCCAAAAATGAGGTTTCACCATGTGGGGGAGTACATGGCAACAAAAATTCGACCAAAATCGGCTCCGCGACGTTTCGAAAGTGTGACGTTTCGCA